ACTGTTCGCAAAGAAAATGCCTGACACCAAACTGAGACGTGAAGGCTCCAGCAATGACTCAATCTTGGCCTCCTTAGATTTGCCTTTCCCACTGCCCTTCCGCTTTGGAACATCAGCTGAAGCTCCCCATTTCTCCTTGGCCCTGTCCTCGACATGGCGACGCAATTCATCGTAGTGCACCCACAGGAAGGGTCTGGACTTGCTATTGCCGATGGTCTTGAGCTGAGCCCAGGGGTTCTTGGATTTAATGGCCTCCTCAATCTTGTCTCGTCCGAGTGCCTTGACGGCTGCTTGGATGCGATCTGCCACAAGGTCAGATGGGACTCCCTTGCCCTCAAGAAAGGGGCGTAGCCATTCCTCAAGTGGGTCAAGCTGAGACTTGCCCCCTCCGCCTCGATAGGAAACAGTGGCAACACCCCATCTGAGGATGGAGTACCAAGCTCTCACATCACCTTCATCAAATGAGTTCCAAAGGCCGAGGCGCCACCCAATGTGCAGCAGGGCTACGGCTCCACAAAAGTTGTCATCGCCCTGTTGGAAACAGCTGGCGACAACATGACTGATGGGCCCACATCCAAAAGTGGCATGAATCATGCTCGCAACAGCCTGCACCTCAGGCTTCAGGCGGTCAGCAATTCCATCAACACAAGTGGCTTCAGCACCAGCATCATGCATGGTATAGTCTAGAACAGACCAATGACCGTCTCGGCCAATCAGTGCCAGGACTCTGGACCCATCAAAGTAGCTGAGCTCATTGCAAACAAGGTCACGCTCTTCATCTACCTGCATGTCAAGCCAGGTGGAGGTCATACGAGGAGCAACAAAATGGAGGTCTTTCGTACCTGCAGCCTGGATCAATGCCCTTGCAGCATACGTCATAGTGACATCATCAAGGCCGGCGTCATACCCTGGGTGCACTGTTCCATCGGCTCTACGCTCAGCAAACCAACGTTGCAGCTCATGATCACGGGCAACAAGCTGGAGCAATGCATGTGTTTTCTTTCCACCCCCTCTCACAAGTGTGGCGATCTCAAAATGGCTATCAAACCAGATTGGAGTGTCCAAGGAGATGCGAAGGTCTTTGCCAAAGAGAAAAACGGCACACTCAACTCCCTCAGTGATGTCATAGACAATCTCAAACAGCCGAGTCCCTGCCTCGCATGTTCTAGTGATTGTGCGGCCACACCAGGCGAAAGACAGCGAAATGGTTCCACTCGTCTTGTCAACCTCCTTAGCTGAGCAAATGAAATCTCCTGCTTGTAGTTGATCGTCAGGCATGCTCAGTCGTCCATGGCGGAAGACTTGCAAAGAACTACCCTTGACCAGCTTTTCTTGTGCAGCGACAAAATCTCCGACTCTGGCGGTGCCATCAGCCCGGAAGGCAATTGCAGGTTCACCAAGGCAGCTGACCTGATAGTTGACAGGCTCGTTCATGTGGGCAAAGGTCCACTTCTCATCACGCTGAGATATCAGATCATGTGCAAACAACAGAAGTGCCCCCTCCGCATCAACCGGCACACCATCAGGTCTAGACTCCTCAATCAGCAGAAAGACCCAAGCGGCCTGAAAAGGGGACGCCACTTGTCCGACCAAGCACAACTGATCCTTGAGTGGCTGGGCATAGGTGTAGCCAAGGTCGATCCCTTGCAGAAAGCCAAGCTCAGCTGGGTGAGGATGTCGTGAGACTGAGACGTCATGCCCTGAACGCACCTCGATGCTATGCACACCTCCCCTCAACAATCTGTCCTCACTGAAACCCTTGGATCTGCAGCCACAAGGGCAAGGACGAAAATGTGCTCCTTGGGAATGTAGTGCAGTGGGTGCTTGACCATTGATCTGCAGTCGTCTGTCGGTTTTGCCATACTGGGGATTTCTGAAGATCTGTGTCTCGTGGTCATCCCAAGCCAGACTCCTCTCAGCATCATGACCCCACAATGGCCAGGAGTGAAAGAGGTCTTTGATGGTCTTCCACTCACCTATCGGCAGATCACGAAAGTGCACAGGTGGCCATCCAGCAGGGGTGCCAACAAACCACCAACGGCAGCGGCGACTGGGCCAAAGCCTCTCAAGCCTCAAAGAGCCATCAACTGACTGGAGGCCCAACAAAGAGCAAAAGTCCTTCAACATGGAGATGACTTCTCTACTCTCCCCCGCCCCTGACACACACTCCAGGACGATTCCTCCACACTGTGTGAGCCAACCGATCCTCAAGATCGAGCTCAGCACTTGCGCCCTTGGGTCGCTGAATCCTCGTAGGTCACCAAGCCGAGAGTACGGCTGACACGGGAAACCGGCGGCAATGACGGGAGAAGCGCACCCAATGCATGTGTGCACGGCCCGCATCGTCGATTCATCTTGCAGGTCTCCCTGAACGATGCATACGGTCGAACCGAAATTGATGCTCAGGCTCTTTGTTGCAAGATCACTCACATCACACATCACCTTAGTATTGTAGCCCACTCTGTGGGCCCCCAGGTCCATTCCACCCAGGCCTGAGCAAAGAGAGACAACACTCCTAGCCATGACTCCCTCATGCGAATCTCCATGGTAACAAAAGACAACCTTGCTATCGCCATCACATTCGATGAAAACTGAACCATCAGGCTGCATACCACAAACCAACCATCCATAAAAAGTCACCACATCATCGATAGCCGCCGGCGATGCGGACCGCACCCAAAATCTCTGTCCATGAGCGAGGCTCCTCCAGCACTCCCCAGCCTGGGACACCTCAATCTTTCGAAGAACCTGGGTGGTCTTAGATCCCACGAGAGTGGGATCCACAAGGCGATCCTGCCAGTCCATAGCACCTAAGAAAAACGCTCCTCGAGGGATCAGCTGAAACGCAGACTCACTTCTGGCAAGGCCTCGAGCCGAGTCTAATGATCAATATATATATATATATTAGATTATATATAGAGTATATGTTCGTACACCTATTAATGTTCTAGGTTTTTCCAACCACATGCAGTGGAAGATTGTCATTGTCATGCCTAGTGCATGACAAGATATTGAGTTTCCGGTTCCCGGAATCGAAATCGAAGTATATTCGGAATTTCTGTGTTTGTCATGTACATCTTTTCCCTTGCGTTTTCAAAGTACGCATACAGAATCTGGTATCGCTAGTCAGTCTAGGTGGCCACGGTTGCTGGTCATTGTTCAGTCGACTACAAAGTGATGAGAAGTAGGAGGGGTCCACTAGACTAGTCGAGGTGTGTGTGCACTAGTTTTTGGCCCTGGTATGCATAATAAACACTCCCTACAGGTCCAATGTCCCAGCAAGACCTTGTCCTTGTGCTTTACCAACTGAACCTGAGATCTCCTCACACCAAGACACTCATGATTTCATGACGCACACAAAGCGCTATATAGGCTATAAGGCCTTCCCCGTTTGGACGAACATCTCGTGGCCGCATCTCGTCAGGCCGCGGCCTTGAGTTCTTTGCTGGTGGGACTGACCTTGGCCTTCGCCTACTGCGCCTTGGTCGAACGCAGAGCGACTGACCCAGAAGCGCTGAACCGAACCAGAGCTCTTCTGCGCATCCGATTGAGACGTTGATGTGTGTATATAACTGTACTATATATGGTAATAAATCACAAATGATGTGGATCACTATGCTTGTCCACTCTCGGAGCCATCAGGAAGACCAAAGGTCTTGTTAGTCTTGTTGAATGAAAAAGGGTAACAAGAGCCGCCAATTTAACATATTATATCATGTCTTATCAATTTCCTGACAGTCACACCAACTCTGCGGTCCAGTTTGCCCGGTTTTAGCTTTCAAGCTGGGATGTTGGCAGGCAAACAGTCGGTCAATCAAGATAATGAAATCTATAGGTTCCTGTCTTTTTGCCACAAAACATCTACATCATCGACCCTCTTTCTGTTTCGATATCTTCAGTGGGCTCCAGAGGAGCGCGAGCGCGTGCCTCGCCTTCAGATGGGTCGTGCACAAATCCTGATCCTTCTTCCTGCACAAATCCCAATCTTCATGTGGACGGGGCAAACTGTTAAGACCCTGTCTGACTGTCTTCATGTGGAAGGTGGTGCATGGTGGTGCTAGGTCGTTCGTAGATGACTCGTTAAGACCCAAGGCACCACCGAACGGACCTGAGAGACGGCCGGCCCGGTGGTCAGGCTGGCAGATGGCTTTGGTGATGCTTGGCCCCGCGGCATAGGAGATCTCAACCGACTGCGAAATGGGGGTGTCCAAATGGCTTGGAAGTTCAGCAACAAAAACAGCAGTGCATGTTCCTTCAGGCACAGGTATTAAAAACATGAAGTGACTAAGGTTGATTAAACAAAAAATATGCTTAAACAGCAGTTTTGAACTTATTTTGGTGACATCACCATACCCGCCTTTCTTCAAGGGACACCTGAATGGTTGGGATGAAAGGGAATTTTGCTCAAGAAACACTCAGAGCAAGGCGAAGTCAGCAGATGGGTCCTTTGGCACTTGGGAGTCAGCAAAATGATGGATGTGTAAGTTTAATAGGGAGACACCCAACCAATGGTTTATTAATTAGACTGAATTAGACTGGTCTATTTTCCTTTTGTCACGGGTTCTTTGGCAGTCTCTCTTTTTTTTGAACACCCGAATAATATTGGAATAGGGAGACCTAGAATGAGCAAACATGGACTAAGCACCCATTGGTTGGGGTCCACTGCAAAGACATACGCTCACCTCAGCTGATTTGCTGATCTTGGACAAAGAGATTCCTCCGAGGTGAAATGTTACTTTCATCCAGTCCCATTTCATTCCCATTTACTTCGAACGGGGTCCACCACCTGTTGCAGACTGTTCCAGTGGTTCTTCTTCCACTTCACACCAAAGGTCCGGTGCGGTTTCTGCATATTTTCTGAAACCAGAAGTTGAATTGAAGCATCTATAGCTGCTATAGCTGCTAATCAGGAAGGAGCGACTGAGGGGTCGAATCCACTTGTGTCTTGACTCATGGAAAGTAGAACAAATAGGGATCAGCACTGAACCGTCCCGACCGGGATGGGAAACGAGATGAAACGAGGCTCCATTCCCATCATGATCTTGGCCAACGCCATTCAGATGATTGTGCTCTTGGGAGCCTCCAAGAACGACAATGAGCCCCTCAGATGCCAGTCTTGGCGACCCTGCAGGTGGAGTTTGGTTCACCAATGTTCACCACGAGAAACCTATTTACTGTATGTTTGCTGTGTTAGCTCAACGTGTCATTACAGATGTCGGAAATCTAGAAGGCAGCAAACCCGGACAACGCCGACTTGATTTGCTGCCTTTGGTGCTTGCCACCATTTGCCACCTGCCTATGACTCTACCCGAAAACAGTTCATCGAGGCAGTTGATGGCAAGTTCAGGCTGAACTTTAATTATGGACACTCCCAATTCTTTTGGTGCTGTTGCAATCCAGCTGAATAGAATTGACCAAACCAACTTGGTGCCGTGATTTTCCTCCACTCTTTGGCTCTTTTCTTTCGCACGCGCCGTTCGATCACGCGCCGTCCAGGAACCTCACGAACGCGCAGCAGATCGTCACGGACAGTTTGATGAATGCCCGGACGGTGCAAGCGTTGGGCGTGGAGAAGGGCTTGGTGGAGATGTACATGACGTGGGCCGCAAGCTGAGTTGTGATGAAGAGTTGTGAAATGCAATGGCTCGGTTGTTGGATGTTGTGTTTCATGAAGAGATGATTTGATGTTATTTTTTGTGATGTAGATAAAGCATATATTTTTGTTATGCACTCCTTGCATCACGCACTTGTATGTTGCACACTCGATGTTCAACAGCTGGTGTTGCGCACGTCAAGATGCCCTTGCATCTTACCAGTTTCAAAATTGTGTTTGGTAGATCCGATCCATGTGACCCACCAACTTTCCTGAATTCAGGACATCCTCAAAAGAGTTCCACGGCACCATACCTAACATGCCACTCACACCGACGGGTCCTGGCATGGGACCCTCCAAACCCTTGAGGCTCTGGATGGCTCTGGATTGGACCCTCAATAGCTGGGGTTTTGATCTCGGGATGTGGTAGATCTTCTGAACAGTTACATATCTAGAGGTCCGGCGACCTTCGCTTACACTGGGCGCGTACGGAAACAAACGACTGTTGTCACGCCTTAAGGTGGAGAAGTCCATGTCCGGCATGTGCAAGCGCAACGTCCTCGCAGGTGGGGAGGAATTGTCCAACACCGAAAACATCTCGACACCTACCAGCACCCGACGACTCTACAGGTCTCCTCTGGTGGCTTTTGCAGACTTTTAAAAAAAGCAGGTGGGTGACCTGTTGCCGGGGTGCTGATAGAAGGAGTTTTGTGGTGAGTTTGTTGAGTTGAGTGTCCCATGACAAGAACGAATCCTTCTGTTTCAGACTTTAGGTGATCCATGATGGCTCGTTTGTTTGCTCTCGACCAGTTTTGGCAATGTCTCGTTTGAGCCATACTTGGGTGATCTTGGGTGAAAGTTCATCGCTGGCGGAGGGACACCTCTTCACAATCTAGCCCCCTGATTTCTCGAAGCCAAAAGGATTTTTTTCACAGAGCTTTTCTTGAACAATCCTGGTTTTGGGGATATCTTGGGTCAGACCCACGTGAAACCTTGACAACCACCACCATCTCTGGTTTGGTCAAAAAAAAGTCGCTCATGTTCCAAGAATCAATTGCTTTGATGGTCCAAATGGGTCTCGTCACCGATTCGCCCGTCTTGGCTCCCCCATGTTCGCCAGGCATTGGCTTCGGAGCAGCTTGGTCGAAAAAGAGACTGGAACGTAGACCGAAGATCGCCAAAACAGGGTACGGGGTGTGGTTCACTGTCAACAGGACAATTACAGTGGTGATGGCGTAGATGGCAGACACCAAGATGTCCTAGACAGATGGGGGTCCATATGAACCACCTAACTTGGGGATTCTTCCATCTACTCTCAATCCACCCTATGGAATATATGCCTACATTGACCCCCCAAACCACCCCAATGTAGGCATATATGGCATACATGGAGCGTTTGGGCACTATAAAGCTCTCCTTGGGAAATTCATGCCGTCCAGTGCCCTCATTTTCTTCAAAGCCAGTACTTCTGGAAGCACACAGGTCAGCACTCGTGCAACTCTCTTCCAGGGCCAATTTACGCATGACCTGAGCTAGTGACTAGTGTAGGTGGTCGTACTACTGGGCTGCAGTCCATTTTGATGAATTTCCCATTGGTAGTTCCTGATGCGGTCCTACATTTGGGCAGCATCATATAAGTCTGTATACACGTCTTGAATATCTTGACAGCTCTTGAGCTCTTGCCCACCGGTGGACGCCATTTGCACGCAACCATCTCACGCCACGCACCCATCTCGACGCACCGACGACGGCCGGCGCGGCGGTTCGCCGAGCGTCGCTGAGATCGCCTCCGGGGTGATGTTCTTCATCATGGCGGGTGGCTTCTACGTCGCCTCCCTCCTCATCAAGGACGAAGCGGAGGGGCGCGAGCAAAAGCACCGGCGGTTCAGGTGTGTTTTTGGGGGCGGTTCAGGTGTTCAGGTCAAAAGACAGGAAGCAAAACCGCTCCGGTCGAGTCTTCGAGGGATTTGGTCGGGTCTTCGATCGAGTCAAGAATGACTCATGAGGGGTGCATGGATGACAGATACACATGGTTTTGCTTGGTTGAAGAATGACCCACTGGTAGCCTACAGACCCTGTAAATGTTGGTATATGTTGAACCTCTCAATTATTATGCAATTTGGTATTTTGCAGTGGATGATTGGTAGGTGTTCATGGTGGTCAACAATTCTGTCCAGCATGAAGACTTGCTTCCGTCAGCTCGTGAACCATCCGTTGCCGATATATCTCCCAAGGTCCCTCTTCTAAGGTCCTCTCCTTAACACCTGTCATAGCCATAGTGTAAGACAAACCCTGCGAGAAGGCGAGCACTATCGAGCACTCACTTGTGCAAGCAGAGATGTTCCTCGCTGAATGATGGCTGCAGGCTGCAGTTCCCCACCCCACTGCGCAGTTTGGATCATGCTTGTAGGCCATCCAACCTCCCAGAGATTGGATGATGGTTGTAATCAAGTATTCGTACTACAATGTATATGAGTTGAGAAACTATTCAGCAAAAGCTTCACAAGTGAGTGAGTGACAAAGTGTAGTAGGCACTATCTCACCAGGTCTGAGCACGTTCTGCCCTTGAAACAACTGGCCCACTCAACTGCCCACAAAAACCGGTCGAACGCAGGTCGTGGGCCGAAAACACACATCGCCAGGAAGGAATTGCGGACTTCAAGGGCGTGATGATGGCCTTTATGGGTCGCTTGGTGTGGGACGATGTGCAGTCAACCCCGACTTGGTGGGTGATCTGAGTGGATCAGCTGTTGGTGTTCGTGTTGCTTCTTGCTTTGCCGGGTCAAGTTTGGAGTGTTTTTCTTTGAGAGCACATGCCAGGTCCGAGCATGTGTGTCCTTGAACTGCTAGCAACCAGCCATCTTTGAACTGCTAGGTATTTTCTATGCCGGCATGGGTGCTGGACAGGCTGGATGGGTGCACTGCTAGAAGGAAAGATGATGCTGGACAGGCATCGTGACACTGTTTGAACGGGAGGATCCTTACGCGTTGAATTGGAAGCTCGGTCACTGATTGGCATGCAGTGTATGCTTGTCCCACTGAACAACACTAACTATAGTAGTTTGCCGCCCGAAAGAAGAACCAACAAGCACGGATGATGATACTGTAAGCAAAACTGCAAACACTCAGATGCCCAGAAAGGATGTCGACATCGACGATCTCTCCATTCTTCGCGTCGACGCTCTTCGGAGGCCGCTGTGATGATGGGAGATGCCACCAAGGCCAAGGCGCGGTGAAACCACGACCGAGGAGCAGCCAACGACCGCAAACGGGCCCGGCTTTCGGCTCTCTCAACGTGGTTAATTACTCGGATGTTAAACTGCTGAGGTGAGAGTTTGGTGTTGATAGACTGACTCTAGTAACTCTAGTACTGACTTTTTATCTTCAACAATTCCAGCTCGTCCAGCTGATGGGTTCAGAAGCCACTTTTGCCTGCCAAAGTGTAGGGGGCAACACACTGCTTCGGGTGCAGGCTTGTCTCTTTGACTATGCCTAGCCTATAGCTTCCCTTATTTGGTATGAACCCAACGGACGGAAAGAAATATGTGTTGACACCTGCCGCCCCCACTATCCCACCAGTCTTTTGGTAGAGAGGTTGGAGCAGGGTCGCTTTCTCAGTTTTTCGTGTCGGCATCGAAGCTCGATGTCCGTGCCATCCGACCCTTTTGAGTCGCTTTAGTCTGGGTGAACCCAGACTCTGATGCTCCCAACAGGTGGCGTGCCATGACATGTTCAAGTTGATGGTGACGTGGATGAACATAGACCAGCAGGGTTCACAGAGGTTAGGAGAGGAGGTGTGGTGGATTTGCTGGGTTTGGGACTCTTTTCCATTCTTTGTGGTCTTGTGCAAGTCGAACTATATAACTAAGACAGCTAAGACTAAGAGCGGAACAATTGCGTTTGAAGCGATCCTAAACATTTCTAAACTAGCACTTCCGGAACTCCTCTCTTGTTGATGACTGACATGATGTCCAATATTGTTATCTTAGGCCGTATTATTCAATTCTTCCATGTTGTGGCGGATTCTTTGGGCAAGTCTGAAACTCTCCTGACCACCATGACCGATCCCGACATGCGGCAGCTGACGAGCCGTTGCTGTCAATAGGAATATCTTGACAGCAGGAATGATAGCAAAGTGGCAGCCCTAAAGGTCATATGAGATATCACCTCTCTCTCCAGTTTGACAGGAACCCATCGAAGAAGACATCAGTATCGCCAGAAGCAAGGAGGATTCAGGATTAGCTTATGTTTCTTGCCAAGCTTCACACCAGACACTCCGAGCTCCATCCGCCAAGTTTCGGAATACCCAATCCAGTGTCAGCAAACACTCCATGGGACTGGAATATCAACACACAGAGTTACATTGGGATGGTGTTTGAACGCAACCCAGACGTTCCATGGGACTGCCATATGCCTACATTGGCTCCCCAAAGCACCCCAATGTTGGCATATATGGCAGTCCCATGGAGCGTCTGAATGCAATGGGCCGGTAAATGATGCCCGTCCCCTGCGTGGTGTCTATAGGCACCCCCAAAAGAATACGAAGAAACACCACGGAGCGACTCCTCCCGGAGGTTCTCCACGCATGGACCAGACCCGGTGAGTTGGAGCAGCCAAGGACCGCCAGTCGCAGATCGAGGGCCTGGATCCCAAGGGCGATTCTCCGGAGAAGTTGGACGCTGGGATCATTGAGTTCAAGGACCTGACACGGGGGGGGTGAGGTGGTGTTTCTATGGCGCGCCACCTGGCAGTTGAACGACGTTGGGGTGCTGGTTTGGGCGCTGGTTTTGGGGACACCTGGGGGTTGCGAAAGAGAGAAGGGCGTGCTTTTGAAGGGCGAAAGCAGAAGAACGGGTGGGCGCCTGGTGGAATTGATGTTCATAACACTTCTCAATGGCCTCAATTCGTGATCTGGGATGGGTGGGTTTCTGTTATAGGAGCCAGCTGGCAGGTTATAGGTGGCCCAGTGGAGAGCAAAGTCTCAGAACAGTCTGTCAGAACACCTCTTGGATGTGGTGCAGGATTTCTTCCATTACAACGACGGCAGTATACTTCCCTTAGCATCAGTTTCCGCAAACACATTGCAATGTAGGGCTTACCTCAGAAGGTATGATTGGATGTATGACCGATGTACTCCCTGGATGTCCCACCTTTGAAACGAAGATCTTCCTCCTGGCACCCACCGGTCCAACGTTCCCCCTCAAGTCTTCACTCCGGCCGAACCGGGTGAAGGTCCAGCCTTGGTGGGTCGGAACCACGTGGTTCCATGCGGGGTGACCCGTTTTTCGCGGGTTCCATGCGGATGGTTTGGAACGGGCAGGCGAGGGGTTGGACGTTTTCAACCTGGGTTTGGAAGTTCCTCTGAGCCCTTTGGACACAAACCAACCGATTGAGACCTGTCTCTGAGGCGTTTGGGGCGTTTCGAGGGACGCGATGTTGTTTCGCCCGAGGCTTGTACACATGTCCAACCACCAGAACAAGTAATAGCTTCTTGTTACTACTAGTAAGGCACTTGTTACGAACGAAGCGAGGCACTTGTTTCTAACAATATAGTTTTCCATGGATATGAAGGTTGGATCTCTCCGTTGCACCGGAACCGTGCGCACCGGAACCGGGCTTTTTTGATGGCTTCCACACACCAGCCATGGGCAATGATCACTCCAAATGAACCGCAAGCAGTTTGAAGTTATATCATGACCGAACCGTATACCCTGGCTGTCTCTTCCGCAGGAGGTGAAGTTCTTCTACCCCTTCCGTCCGGAGATTCAGGTTCGACCCGGAGCTGGCGAGCTCGAGCTGTGGAGGGTTTGGGAGTTGGTCTTTGGATCGAAAAGCGGAACACTGCCCTCAGTACAGCGGAAAAGGATGGAAAAGGATGTGGTGAGCAAGTGAGATGTGGCGAAGATCGGTAGGTTTGAAGCGTTTCGTCTTCTTTTCTGCCAGTGGCGCCATGGCGAGAAGCCGATGTGGCTCAACCACAATTCGATCCCCAGGTGATGTGGCTAATTCGTCCTCCAATCGTGGGTCGTAGGTTGGGTTGGGTCAGGTCGTTAGGCAGACCTTAATCCAAGCTTACCCAGCTAGGTTAGTCGGTTAGTCCACTCGAAGCCAACTCCGGGCTTTGAAGAGAGTTCAACAAGTTCCAGTTCGGGGCGGAGCAATCCGGTCGAAAGATCCTGCATGAACGCCCAAGTTCCGGAAGCGATAAGGAACAGATTAGACTGAGATGGGTTTGATCATGGAAGTCCATTTCGACTCCATGATGCCTTCGCGTTGCGTGGTTTTTTGAGGACAAAACCTCTCCTTCTGCAGGCGGCCGGGCCTTAGAACACCACGGCCGGTGCTCGTGTCTGCAGGTGCTCAAGGGCATCAACTTCAGGATCACCACGGGTCAATCAGTCGGCCGCCGGGCCCAAAGGGTTGAGCGACAGCGACAAGCCGCAGATCTGCCGAAGTTGGGGGCTTGGGTGGACTATAAAGGTCTGTCAAGAAACGACGGGAAGCGGAGAACACCTCAGATCTCTCAAGATTCAAGATATTCAAGTGGAATGACCACATAAAGGTGGTGCAGGAGTTCTTTCTTCAACAGCAACATGACCAGAGCTTCAGCTCAAATGCTCACGACAACCCTGTGAAAGCCTGGGCGTGCCCTATTGATCCTAGTGCTGAAGATGCGTATGTTGGGGCACTAAACAGAACATGTGCAAATCCATAAGCTCAACCCTTCGACACCCTACAGGGACTCCTCCCGTTCCAGGTCAATCATCACTGGAGTTGATTAAACTCACAGAGACTCGATGAGAGCCAAACAGAGACCGGATTGAAAAGAAGACCTGGTCGGGGCAGCGCAATTGGTCCTTGAACAAGGAGGCCCGACGACCACATGAACTGTGAAGCCAACTTGCTAGGACCATCGAAGGGGAGAGACCCCTACAACTTGCAGAAGATGTTTGAAAACACGCGGAGGTACTCTTTTCGGAAGAGTCATTTGGACTCATGGGGTTCATGGCAGGAACCCTTTTTTTCCCCCTTCCACCATCCTGCCATTGGCTCACTCGCACCAAGGCTTGGTCGGACCCTCCGGCGGTGGCAAGAGTCGCTCGGAGCGAAGGGAAGCGAAGCGAAGCGAATGGACCTGGAGTCGACCCGTACCTCAGAAAATGGGTACTTAAGATATCTTAAGATGGTATACAAGCGATACAAGTACCTGAGTTGAACAGCCTTATAGCCCATCATATGTACCACTACAGGGTCTTATAATAGGTCTCTCAACCTCTCTTGGCATGTTTTACACTCCATGTCTGGGGAGGCTTTTGATGAGTTTTGATTAGGCAACAGTCTACGCCACCGAGACGTTGATGGCGTCAACTGGAGTGTCGCATAGTGTCGCCACCGAGACCACCGGTTCACCTCACCTCTGGTTGTTCAGCACTGTCTCCAATGGGTTCCTGAAGGTTGAACCGCTATGTCAAATGTAGCTCTCCTGTCTTCCAAAATGAGTCGTGTGAGTTATAAGTCTGGGATTCATTCTTCCACCCAGAGGTTTATTGCCCAGGGTTCTTACTTCTCAATGACTAGGTGCCTGTGATCCCCGTTTGGTTTGCCGCTGTTGCCGCAAGTCTCCTTGCTTGTTTCCCCATTTGTAGCGTCCTTGCTCCTAGTAGTAAGGCCAGGAGCCCCTAGTAGCGTCCTTGCTCCTGTCTCCCCATTGGTCTCCTCAGTTGTCTCCCCACTTGTTTGCCTGTTTGTTTGGTATTTTGTTTGCTGCCTTGCTACTGCTGCTGCCTTGTCTCGTTACTTGTTCCCCCCTCTGGTCTCCCCACTTGTTTTGTTCGATTGGCGTTTTGTTAGCCGCTGTTGACCTTGTCTCCTGACTTGTCTTCCCGCTTGGGATTTTCGTCTCAGGTGCTCAATTAGATTAGCTACTAGCTGGGTCTACGCAGGTGTAATTTGTTTAATAGTAAGTGTTTGTCCTGTAACTACAATCCATTTTGCCTTGCTTTCAGGCACGGTGATGTCGCTGCTCCAGCGCTTCTATGATCCTCAGGAGGGCAGTGCGGCTCGGAGTTGCCACAGATTGGAATCTGCCAGAGTGGATCGTGGACACCGGAATCTCCAACAGGGGGTGATCTAAAGGCTGATTAGACCCTTATAACTAGGGCTTTGACCCTCACAACCAAGGGTTTCGGACGACATTGACATGTAGCAGTTTGAGGGTGGATTCTTGACCGTTTGATGGTTGCTTGTGAAGTTTGTTGCTGGTGACTTCTTTTTTTCCTCACTACTGCAACTGCTGAGCACAGCGCACCGCTACGCCAAACCAGCGCGATCCCACCGCACCGCGGTGACACCTCAGGTCCTCATCGGCGCCGAGAAGCTGCCGCTGCATTCCTTGAACATCCGCTGGTGGCGCAAGCAGCGCCTCGCAGCATTTTCGGAGAACCGGAGGAGGCGGTCAGCCACCGATCAGTTCCACCACGCGCACGGAGTGCACCGCTTTTGGCGGGCGGCACTCAGTGGGGCGCAACGTGGTTGGGTGCGCCCCACAGGGTACGTACTGAGACTTAGTTGGGGTGTGACGCGGCGCCAGAGTTTAGTGAAGTTAGGACCGTTAGGAAGAACCTCAAGGAGTTGGTTTGGCCGAAGTTGAGCGGACTCCAAGCGGCGGGAAAGAAAAGGTCTGCCGCATCTCAACGCTTCTTGCTGGAGGCCTACACACCCCTGACTGAGAAAACCCTTATATTTATACCCCGTGGATGGGTGGAACCCGGAACCCCATCACTTTTGTGTTGTTCCCTCTTTCCCAATTATCAATCTTCTATAGGACACGTCCTCAACCTCGTTGCATTGCAACCACAAACCCACGTGGACCCGTGAGGCGCTCCGCGCAGAGAGCGCCGTCTTCGCGCCGTCTCCGCGCCGTCTGCGCCCCCTCTGAGGATCGGTTTCGTGGGCCAAGAGCCGATCCTCTTCAACGCCAACGTGCCGCCGGGGATCGGACATGGCTCCGCGCGGCACGGACGCGACACGCGGCACGGAGGTGACTCACCGGTGGGGCCTGGCATCTGGAAGGAGGTCGGACGGAATGGTTCGATCTGTTTGGGTGTTATTGTGTTGTTCTGTTCCATTTGCGCCATTTGGTTATGTTATATTATATATTTGTTTGTTTCAACTCTCTGTTTCAAGAGTGTAGAACCGTTGGACATGAAACCACACCGGAGGTTTGTGGGTCTTTTGGGGGATCACCATCCATTAGGAAATCGGACCGACCTGTCTTTTTTCGGACGCACTGCGCATCATGAGGTGCGCACGAACTTGATGTACGGCGTGGATGAGAGCGACCAGGTGACCGAGGAGTACCTGCGACAGTGCCTGTCTGATATGAGAGCTTGCCGTGGGACCGAAACAACATGCAGCAGGTGGTTTTTGTATGGTTTTGTCTCTGTCCGGTTTGCCTCTGGGCAGAGGATCATTTGAGAATATACTGTCTAAGCAGGTTTAGTGTTTGCATGGAGAACAGAACACCGGTCTTCATGTTTCATCGGCACTGGTCGACTGACAAGTCCACACGCTGCGTTCGGGGATTTCCCCGGTCGGATGGACCGGACCCGGTCTCACACAGAGTTTGCTTCAACTTCCAGCTGAGATGGTGTTCTTTTTGGAAGTTTTTGGAACATCTCACGAGACTCGACGTTGTTTGAGGGATCGTAAGGAGAAGCGGCCCCACGCTGGTATCCAGAGCCGTGCGTGGGTGGGAAAATTGGATTGGAGGGACAGGTGCCATTATGACATCCATATGCGCCATGTGTTTTGTACCCCAGGTCCCACCTACCCCCATGCCCAGGACAGTTGAACATCCTCAGTGAAGAATCTTGCTTCAAATCGCTCACCCAGGTGCGAGAAGATGTGCAACCTAGGCTTCCTCTACAAGATCCTTGGCGTTCGCCCAGTGAGGGTTTTCCGCTGGGGAGCGCGGGTAAGGTTGGAGAAAACAGAGAATCAGAACACCTCTTGACGAAGACAGAGAGCGTGGCTGTCCAAATAATGGTGTCGTGTTTTGATCCAAAACTCATATGGGACTAAAAGGAAGGGTTCTTTTCATTTAACAGCAGCCCTTCGATGGATGCACACCAAAGAAGAACGTCACCTGGAACCTGACGGGAATCACCTGGTTTATTCTGGTTCGTGAAGAACTCATCCAACTCCGATCTCACAGGGTGTAGGAGTTCCTTTGTTTTCACGCGGTATACGTTTCAGCTCCATCGGTTTCCACCCCTGTTTCACCCTGTTTCACCTGGACGGGACGGTGAGTAGACCGGTCCCCCCTCCAGAAGACCCGGGGTCTTCCGGACCGGTTGCCGGAACCGATCAGAGCGGCTGGGTATGTTGGGATGGTTCCAGGGACCGTCCAGGGACCGTAAAAGATGTTGAGCTTGGTGAACGAGGTGAATCAAATGTTGGATGTCTTGAAATGTCACCGGCTGGGCATGAGGAGTATGATGGAGTATGGACAGTATGGAGTTGTGAAAAGAGCAAGATGTTCTGCAACCATTCAGATTCAAAGAGAGAAGACTTCATATTAATGAGTGATCTGTGGAGAGCCACCAGGTGTTCACACAGACAGACATTTGTGGGTTGGGTGCGGCCAAAAACACCGACATGTTCTAATGGCTGTGGGTTGTTCTGGGGAATTGGCGAAACTCTCCCGGAGAGGTTCCAGAGAAGTCCAATTTGTTTCTCAACGGTCCATCCAACGACCTCCCAACGACGTCCCACTTCCATCCATCATCTCACTCTGGGCGACCCCCCGCGCTGTACAGCGCGACACTGGGCGACCCGCGCTGCCCAAACCCTTGCGGCCTCGCCCTCCGCTCCAGGAACGGCAACCAGGGCTTAGAGACCGAAGTGGGTCCCCGTGGATCACGGCTCAGCGGTGGGCAGAAGCAGCGCGTGGCCATCTGCCGAGCGGTGCTGCGTAATCCAAAGGTCATGTTGCTCGACGAGGCGCGCGTCCGCCCTCTGCGGGGCATTTGGGCGGTGCATGTGGATGGAGTGATGGTGTTGTGACGCCATGGCAACACCTTGAGTGAAGTGCGTTTGAAGGAAGTTGTGTTTTTTTTTTCCAGATTTGGAAGTGGGAGTTCTCTGCTCTTTGCCAGTTCTTTGCTCCCCATCAACAGGATGAGGCAGCGTATAGGTTTAACCTTTTTTGTTCGAAAGCGATGCACCTGACCTGACAAACGTGAATATGGTGATCCAAAGGTGCGCTGAGCAAAGGTACGTGGGAATGGGTGCTCTGAGGCAACCAGGGGTGTCTCACGTACGTGGTTCATCAACCATTTGGACTAAGAGTGATGAGATTCACAACGAAACCAGGTTTCAGAAAGGGGGTTTGAGTATTGGAGCGATTCTCTAGCAGTGGCAGGCGGAATTATCGGAATTGGTGGCAGTGCCCATGACTCTTCGCACAAATACTATATTAATGTTTGCCTCTACGGCCTCTACGCTTGTGTGGGGTTGATAAACAGTTCATTTAATATATAATACAATATACATATATATACCAATTTTGGGAGAAAAAGGGCATTCCAGAGTGACACTTGAACATGAGCAGTCATGTGGGCGGAGAGCCATAGGAATCACCATGGGCTTTCGGGGTGACTTGCTGGCAGTTTCTCATTCAGTGCAAAGCCACCTATGTTGGCCGATCCTCACATGGATGATCCAAAACATCCTGCCAGTACCCGACGACAAACAAATCTCCGTGTGTGGTGGCTTTCGAATAGTTAAAAGATGTTAAAAGGTGGTGACCTGTGAAGGCGGGTGCTGGTATACATAGCTTGCTGATTGAAAGATCTTGAACGTGTGGATATACAGTATATTACACATGTAAATATGACGTCCTGCCCGCATGGGTTTGAAAGATCACTGTCCAACACAATGCTCGAAGGGTCAGGCTGTCAGGCTCAGAGGGTCAGGCTGTTGGTTTTACCCCCCTGACACCGAGTAGTGGCCTGCGGCCCAGCGCTACACAGACAGATGACCGTGAGTGTGATGTGTTGAGGGAGTGCGCATGATTCCTACAACCGCTGGAGGGCGGCCTACCAGCGGTTGTTGAGAAAAGGAACCCGAACACTGGCGGAATGTTTGTCCGTTTCGATGTGGGTAGTACTGAAAAATAGTGAGACGCCAGGTTGACCTCCAGGTAAATATACCAAAAAGATTCACAATAACCTTATGTACACCCACAACAAAGCCGTGGCTTGCGGCGCATGTTTGCCTTCGATTGCTGATACCTAAGTCGATCGCTGACCGTTCGATTGGTCCTGTGCCCAAAAAACTGCCAAAGTGCGGACCCTTCGACGCTGTGTCTTCAGTCTGCAGTGTCTGTGTCTTCGTCGCTTCTTGGATCACATCGTCCTCCGTCTCCCTGTTGGGCTGCGGGTTTTTGATGACAGGTCGATGACGTGATGACGTGGATGAAAACAGCGAGGATTTTCTCATCCAAAGGGTTTTCTTGGATGCTAGGTCGTCGGTGCGTTCTTTCTTCCGGCTTTGCGAAACGAGTTCTCCTCCCTGAAAGAAAAACTGGACTGGGACTTGGCCATCGCCATCGCATCTACACAGACTTGGACTACGTACATCAAGAATCATCAAGATCTACGCTAGCTCCTTTTCAAAGACACGAGTTTAATCTAGGCAAGAGATGTTCGAATTAGGCCTGTTCCATGAGGGTTGAATGAGCCACATGACACATGTGCTGACCGCTCCTGTAGGGCCCCAGGGGAGGATGGACTGATGGGGTTCACAATGTTTGGTTGAATGAACATCCACTCCTTCCAACCAATCAATTCAACTGATGGATCAAACCTTCACTCACTTTATAGCTTTTTTTTAACAACGGTTTCAATGTCTTTCTTTCCAGTCGTACCCACCGGGCGCCGCACATCGACGAGGCCACCAGCGCTTTGGACACCCAGAGCGAGACCATTGTGCAGAAGGCGCTGTCGTCGTGCGCGACCGCGGTCGGGGGTCGGACGTTTTTTTTGGTCCCTGTGCTGTTTGGTTGAAAAGCCCTTCAGACAGATTGTCGCCTCGAATAACTGTAATTCTATAATGCGCCACTCTTCCACCCACTCCCCCACTCCACACCGCCCGCTCCGCCCACCCCACCCGTCGTTCTTGCGAGGCCTTGGAGGCGGCGCTCAAGGGCCGCACCAGCTTCGCCATCGCCCATCGCCTGTCGACCATCCAAGGCGCCGAAAGCGACCGATCCGCTCGTCCCGCGACCGATGGGAGGAGACGTGAGGGTGCTGTCATCGGGGGTGCGAGACGGGTTTGGTCTACCCGGACCCGACTTCAAGTACCTGAGAACATGGGACATGGCGGACGACCCTGTAATAATTATCCATGGTAATTAGATATGCCAGGGCCTCCTAAGGGGTGTCTAACAAATATGTCCCTTCGAGGCTTTCCGTCCATTCACCACCCCGTATACTAATAGGCTGCCCTGGTACACTTTATACCATCTTGTACCTCTCAGGTACGAACGGGTCGACTCCAGGTAGCTACCAAGAGGTGGTCTCGGGTGCGACCTTTTTGGCACCCCCCTTTCTTGAAGAACGGTGGACGTCCGGACGACGGATGAAGCATCACCGTACTAAGCTCGAGAGTGGCAGTGACGCATGGTGATCCAACTTGGCGGATCTCAGGTATACACATGAAGTCAAGGGGAAACATATCAACTCTTCGCGGCTGGGATGAGATCTATTTTTCGGCCCCTCATGCGGTTTTATCCTTTTTGGGGAGACTCCAGATGATTCAGAAGATGATGGAACAATGTGTATATCTCCGCCGCGGTGCTCGCTCTTGGGGCGCCGCGCGTGGTGCTCGCTCGTCGCAGCGGGCCGTCGCGCCAGGCTGCGACGTGATCCTGGTGAACGCGGACGGCCGGGTGGTGGAGAGCGGGAACCACTCGGAGCTGATGGCTCTGAAAGGCCTGGATGCGGAGGACGCGGTTTGCTGGCGGAGGGACGCAGTTCAAGGCGTTCAAAAAGGAAACACAATAAGAAAGCAAGCAAAGAAAACCATCAAACAGACTCAAAAGGTCTCCCCGTTTGTAGAGGAGTAATTTGAAGTGGGGAATGGTGAAAAACTCATGTTTGAGCCCTGGCGCAAGATTGGCCCATCGACGTGTTTTTCAGATTTAGCAACCTGCTAGCTTCTACCTGCTCCTAGCCGTGAGAAAGAGGAACCTCTTGATGAGGAGGCTGACTTATCTTTAGGCAGGATGGCCTAGAAGGATTCTAGTAGATTCTTGTTTCTAGTTGTCACCGCTTGGAATTTGCTTCATTTGTTTGCTTCATCCGTTCAGACTCTTCAATCGTGAAGACCCCAAAGCAGACCCATGAACACCCACTCCAAGGAGGCCAACTCCTATTAATCAATTAAATATAATTTATAATTGAATAAACAACAGATATAACTCGTGTTTGGGAGCTTTTGTTGGAGTTTGTTTGACATTTGGATAATTTTCAGGGTTGGTTCATGCGGCTGTCCAGCAATTGTAGCCATTACTTGCCAGGTCCCACCCGAAGATCGCCTCAGGTGTCTACTACAAACTGCAGATGCAGTCGCAGAAGTGAGGCGAACTCTGAAGACTTCGCCTTCCCAGCTGCTCTGTTTGCTCCGCGGGGCCTACAACTACCCGCCGGATTGGCGGGTACAATCTTCAGATGGGGTGAGAAGAGCGCAGCGACGTCCGGATCGCGACGTGTCTGTGCCTCGCAGTCCTTTTCTGCCGTGGGCGGCAGGTTTGCACGGGGGGCAGGGTCCCAGAACAGCTCGGGAGCCTTTGAAGTGGAAGAGATCCATCTTTGATTCATTCCCTTTCAATCATGAGGCCGTTTCTTTTTTTTCAACATTCAGGAGGCCGCAGACTCTGGACTAATCACAGAGGTTCGTGAGCAGCCATATTGACCCACATGGAAATGAGATCTCTTTTGCCGCAGTCTTGCAAGGTGCCCCCGAAGAATCTGTTACATAGAGATGACAACCACAATGTGTCACTTGCATTTGGTGATGCCAAATTTAAACTGGAGTCGATATCAGGGGCACCTCGCTCTTGCCTGTAGCAGGTCTGTGTTTTCGGCGAAGTCAACATCAAGACACCCAATGACTGACCAAGCGAAAGCGACTCTGAAGCCGAAGGCACAGTTTTTTGTGGGAGTATTCCAAGTCTACCTCCCTTTTTTGCCAAGACGATTTGTTCACCACGGATTGTGGTGCAGATCAGTTTGTCCATGCAGCATGTGTTTGCATCAGTGCAGATCCGGAACCCTGAGTTCTACGGTTCGTGGATTGGGGTTTGGATCTCTTTGCGGGAGCGGCGGGCTTCAAGCTATGTTCATGGCCGAGTTTTACTTTTTTTTCCAGAACAATAGCAGCAGCTTTATTAAGTGGATATCTTAGGATGCATTTACCTGTAGCGGGAACGCCAGAATAAATGCTTCTACGTGGAAGGAGCAGAGCTGTGTTTTGTCAATGTGTTTTGCGTTGTCGTGGCTCCCACCAATCGCAGCTTAAACCCATGTTCAGCCCCTTGGACTTGCAAGAACCTGTCAGGGCCGCCGCTCGTGCCGTTCGTCAAAGAAGGAATGTGCCAACGAAGGCCCCCGAAGGCTCCCCCCGGTCATTTGCCCGTGACCGGTGTCGTAAGGATCGAGAAACCAGTGTCGTGCCCCCATTCCCAACCTTTCACCTGCGACATTTGGGGCGGGGTTTGGGGCGTCTCATGGCGTCTCAACGAAGCGATTGGTGGGGGTGGGTGATTTCCTAAGTGCCCCAGGCCTCAGCTTCCGGGCTTCCAGAACGTGGGCGTCATTTTCTGATCTGGTTGCTTTGCCTGGATGTTCTATTCCAACCGTTTTCTGATACCTTCAGATGCAGAAAAGCTACCTCCCGAAGTGTTTAGTGGGGATTTTCCCAATCGGCATTTTGGGGGATAGTAGCAAAAAGGGCATGGAGGGCAAGTGGTGAAGAAGAATCTTTGATATGGCGATAGTATCCACATAGCAGTAGTAGTAGTCTGGTAGTCGCTTGCATAAAGATACATATATTTGGACCTTGCAGTATGAGGCCCATATACAGGGTGAGGGCCCGCACAGTCGGCCGTAGCTCAACAGTGAACCCAACCCACCACCTCCCAAAGCGCTGCCACAACCGCGGAACGCACCGGTGTGATGCCGATCCGCCACATGCCCGGGGCTCCCACGGATCGTAGGGGTCAACACGGGCGGGTGGGGCATTAACACGACGATGAGTTGCGCGAGCGGAAGAAGGGTCTTCAATGAACCCGCCGGTTTTCCCGGACGGCCAAGCCGAGAGGAAAGCATGCAGGGCGTGCGTGGCCGCTTCTTCCGTTTCCCAGCGTGAGATGGGCGAACATTTGAGGCCATGTTCCATCAACCAAATCGTAATCCGAAATGAGTCACTTGCAGTGATTGCTGATCACCACACTCAGCACATCCACTCTGGAACAGGCCACCTCTTTTCTGGGAGTTTTTTTGGAAGAAGTGGTGGACCTGAATTTGCGAGTGGTTTGTTTTCAATGTCTTTTTTCTTCTGGCAACGTCAAGCAGCAGATGGGCCCCCACTTGGCTGGGTGTTTGCAAGGCAAATGCTGTGGACACATTAAGGTGACAGATGCTTTGGTGTCCGCTGATGTTCTTCGCCTTGGCAGTTGAAAAGGGAGGTTGATTTAAGTAGAACTTGCCTAAGTTGGGATTCCCAGGTCCATCGATATTATGTACAACTGATTGGGATGTTACTGCAAAAAACATCGATCGGATCGTCGATCGTCCGTCTCAAGCTGCCACACGAACGTGTGGGGTGCTCTTCTCGCTTTTTCGAGAGCCGCTACGAAGTTTTAGCACTCAGACTGGTCTTGCAGCCGAAGGATTGCTGATGTTGGGACCTGTGCACAGATCCATTTTCATACTCACAAAACCATTTCATCCTATCCCAAAGACAGCAAACGTTCATCTCCCTATGGATCTACATACGTTCTGAGGTACGGTGAGCAGGGAGACTATTGATGTAGGCGCCCTTATGTGGGCCCAAAGGAGCCCAGTCGTACTGTTCCACCTGAGTTCGGTGGCAGTGCATCCTTACTGTAGGGCATCAACCTACCTAAGAAGTACATCGATCACGTGCAATCTTTTTGTATTTTTTTTGGGGGGACACATGAGGGACCCCCCACGGAGCCTTCGAGGTGGATCAGGTTCAATCCAAACATTCCTCTTTTTCCACGGATCGAGTGTCGCCGATTTCGCACCGGTGCTGCGGTTCGGACGAACGGTTGAAGCGTCTGCCGCAATTGGGCCTCCAACCACCTGAGGTTCAGGGAGTGCCGGGGTGGGTGGGTGTGTGTGTCCACCGAGTTTCGGATATGGAACGGGAGCCCAATTGAGGTCCGAGAAGGTTCTTTCCTGACAGTTTTGATGCATACCATGCGACTTGAATCGACTCGATGTGTTCCTCTTCTCCCGTCGAAGAAGACGTTTGTAACATCGAGAAAGCCATTCCCACTGGCGGTGACCAGTTTGCTTTTCACAAAGTTCCAAACTCAGTGAATCTTCAACAGTCGCATTTATGAATCTACAAAATCCCAAACCCAACGACCGTCTTGCATGCCTATCGCTATCCTTTCTGCCCTCACAAAGGCCTTGTCATTCGCGTCAGCAGTCGACGGCGGCTTGGTCTGGCGAAGTCTCGGCTCTCCTGTCCGGCGAAGAAAAGAGACTCCGAGCGAGCGGCGATGCCTCGGAGGGAGGGCGATGAGGCGTCTCGGCGTCTCGCTGGGCTTGGGCCACGGCGTCCAAACAGTCGGAAGAAAAAGGGAGAACACTGTTCGGAGTGTGTGTTTGAATTGTGTGTTTTTTTCTTCTATGTTTTTTGGAGTCCCAGCGGTTTCCGTATAGACATTGCTTTGTAAGTCTCAGTCGTGGGAATTTGTAATGGGCACCTGTTACCCTCCAAGTTTGGCAACCAACACTTTGAAACTCAGACCTACAAGTGAAAAAAGACCCGGGTCCTTTAGCTTTTTGAGTGCTGTTTTGGTACAAAAACTCCAGTCAAATGAGGTCATTGACCTCTAGTGATTGATATTGAAATGGCATGAACTGATGGTCATTCCGATGGTCGTTCCAGTGGACGGAATCGCCGCACCACACCGCGACGCACGCGTGACGCGTGGGACCAGCGAAAGAGAGAGCGGAGCAGAGCAACGGTGGTCGTTCCCCGGGGGCCAAGGCAGCCGCTGTGAAGGGGGAACTCTTGGGCTCGGGTCCATGTTCGCAGGTTCAACTGGTTCGAAACAACAGACACAACAGTGCTGAAGGCATCGGGCTTCGCCCTGACAAGTGTCCTGAAGCGGGTTGAGCATGAAATGACACCGGACGGACAGAAATGGACAGAATAGCGAGGTACTGATATATCGATCTTCGCGCGCGGACGGTACGATGGTACTGAGTGGTCTTTTCAGATGTAACACTCCGACATCCAGTTTCATATCATGATATCTGGAGGTTCACGGAAAAAGACATTCTCAGCAATTGAAATGGTGAGGGATGGTCCTTGAAACCTAGCTTCTCCACTGGGAGCAGAGGGATGGTATCAAGTCACGAAAAAGGGTCATGAAAACGCTAGGCGTGGACACTTTGAGACATGATCCCTAGATCATTTGACTGAAGCTGATTTTGAACTAAACACACGCACACACACACACACTACTCAATGAGGGTCAGGCAGGACTTGTGTAGAGGAGATTTGTTCAATCAATAAAAGAAACAGGGGCAAAGATATAAACTTGACATAGCGTGACACTTTTTTGACATCGATATATGTTCATATAGACTTTTGATATCTTGAGTTTGAGACATGAGACATGTAAACACCAGCACCCACATCAAAGTGTTTTCTTTGTGCGTTTGTATTTACTTCAGTGTCGTCTCACCATCCTTTGGGTGGGTGCGTTTCGATCAAAAGGACTGACTCCAACAGGGCTCAACCGGGGAAAACCATCTGAACAGCGCCCGTCAACGCCATGTCGGACGTGCACCCCCATGGTCC